AGAGTTGAAATCTTTTGAAAATAAAAAAGAAATATGTCTTCCACAAATGGGAATGTTTTAAAACTTTTGGGATTGGGGTACTAATCTTTTAGAAAGGAATTTTCCATGGCCCTTGATACAAATAAATCAATGTGCTTATTCTCTTCCCCTCCTGTGGTTTAAGAAATCAGCAAATACTGAAGATGCTGAGACTCACTATTTCTCATGTAAATCTCTTGTAGCTGAAGACAGACTTGGAGAAGCGCTCGGTTACAGACAGCGAAACTTGGGGCAGTACTGAAGAACTGAAGAAACCAGAAGAAGACTTTGACAGCAGCATAGACAGCAGTGGCAAGTGGAAAGGCCTTCCCTCGGGACTGTCTGAAGAGTCAGAGAAGGGGGGACAGAAAGCATCTCTCCCTGTTTCACAGACCGGATCCTGGAGGAGAGGCATGACTGCACAAGTAGGAACAACTCAGTCCAGGCACAAAGCAGGAACAAGTGCGCTCAAGACCCCGGGTAGGAAATTCCTGTAGTTTAGATTACAGCATTGAAAATTAGGGCTTTATAATTAGAATTCATCTATAAGCAGTAAAGAATTTTAGTGGGGTAAAAATAATTAATGGATATCATAAATGTGTGACAGACATGAGGAACTGTATGCATATTGGTAGTTCTCATAAGTGACTGCAAGCCAAGATCATAATAAAATACTAACTTGTTAATCTCTCTAACTCTTAGTTTGCTACACTGCATGCTTATAATTTATTAATTGCACATGAATGTGTCCATAACAAAAGCTGTGATTTCATTTTGTTCTACTGTCATTTGAGTATGTCAACTTCTATTAAGGAATTTTTAAAAGTATTTTGGACTCATTGATGCCTTATCTTTGTTCTCTAGAAAACCTGTGCCTTTGATAATTGAACATATGCATAGAAATGGCCAAAGATGAGAAGCTGAGATAAAAATATTTAACATTCAAGTGAAGGGACTCAAAATTAGTGTTTCTGAGCTATAAGTTGAATTGTCATATTCCAGAGACTGCAGGCATTCTATAGACCACTGTTAAGATATTAAAAAAAAAAAAAAATTAAATCATTTTACACATTTTCTTCAGTGCTCTATGACTTATTACCTACTTTTGAAAGGCCCTCTTAGAAGTAGTAACCACTTCTGCAATCTAATTTTAATGCAAAAAAATCTAAAGTTTGTCACTATTAAGACCATCTAATCCATTGTTTTACTAGGGAAATATCGATCATTTGTAGGATATTTCCTAGACTTTTGTCATGTCCTGACAAAATACTGCATGAGCATGCTTTAACCCCCAGTTGTAAAGGCGACTAACAAAGATCTCCTCAGAATAAATTAAAATCCTTTGTGAACCTCTTTCGTTTCTTTGCAATTTAGAACTGCTAAACATTGGTCAGCCTCTGATCTATAAGATCCCTGAGGAGTATTGCCATGGTCAGTGGTCATATGGATGCAGAAATGACAGCGGTGTAATAGCAATTACAAAAGGAGTTACTACAGAGTTTACCACGTGCCAAGCTAAGTTTCCCAGGTCTGTTTTGCTGAAGATGAGCAGACAGCCACTGGGCAGCACAGACCTGAGGCTTTAATTTGTTAAGCATATACTCATAGTCTGTGCGTTTGCTGTATAGGAGTCTGATCCTTATCTTGACATATGCATGTGTTTGTGTAGCATAAAATTTGCACTAGATAAATACATGAGTGGATTTAGTTCTGACTTGTAGGTGTTGCTTTTTATTACAGTTTAGTTTCTCAAGAGAAATTAAGCCACCCGCCCACCATAATAGCTTGAAAAATGAATTTAAATCTTTGTTATGATGAATATTTGTTCCTTTTTAGGAGCATACAATAGATGCGTAAAGAGAAACTAGAATAGAAGAGAAATGACCTTTTTTTTTTGTCTGTTTGTAAAATGGGAAGAACGCATTTTATTTTAAGGTGGAAGAAAATACCTTATTTAAACCTTTCCTGTCACAATAATATCATGTAGAACTATATGGCATATAGGTATGTGTCTGTGCAGTACTGAAGACTCTCAGAAAATCAAAAATGTTGAAAAGATTTCAAGGATATACAAAGACAGTTAACTCATGTAATTGATATCGTCATAGGTCAAGAAGATTCATACCATGATAACGTAATTTCCCCCTGATAATTTTGTGTAACTAAAAATGGAACAAACTTACTTATAAGCAAAAAAAGTATAATCAGTGAAAACCAAAGAACTCAATAAGTACCCTTAATTTCTACATACATAATCAATGTCATAGCTCTGGAAATGTTAATTACATGTCATGTTTTATTTTCAAATATTATTTCTTACATATAGAAATACTACTACAGAAAAAAAAAAGTGCCAAATAAAATTCCTTATAGTTCAGTCAGGATAATTTTCTACATCTATGCTTTCTCCACGTATATATGAAACTGGAAGTTCTGAGGAGAATGTCAAGCTTTTAAAACTTAATGCTTACCTATATTGTATCAT